TAGTAAAAATCCAACCAGAAAAGATTCACAATATTTTTTCGAAAATACATAGGTTTATATGATATATCATCAAAAGTTGAAGGTGACAAATACTTATTACATAACACTGTGTATACCTGTAATGACAGAACAATGTATTTAAGTGAGAAATATAACTAAGGTGGAAGAGAACACTAATTAGCTTGCTGACGTCACAATATTTTTTTGAAAAAACATAGTTTTACATGAAATATTTTCAAAATTAAAAGTGACATTTAGATATTGCATAATATGCCTACAGACAAAACTCTTACATGTACAAGTGAGAATTATAACAAAGGTGCAGAAGTAAATTAATTGGCTTGCTTAAAGGCAGTAACCGACAAATCAAATAATTACATAATAAGTACAACAAAGCTGCATTTGCAAAATTTCCCTTCTATAAAAATGTCGTTTCTATTGGTTCCAAGTTGATGAAAATCCAACCAGGAAGGACCTCACAATATTTCTTTGAATAACATATTGTTGTATATGAAATATGTAGCAAAAAATGAAAGTGACAAATACTTAAGAAGGTACTTTAACATGAAATATTATCATGGTGACAATGACTTATTGCATAACAAACTGTTTATGCCTTCAGTGATGGTACTTACATGTATAAGTGAGAATTATCACAAAGGATGGTGCAAGGATAAACTAATTGGTTTGCTTAAAGGCAGAAACTGACAAATCATATATGCAGAGTAGATAATGGTGTAATGTCACACAAGTTAGATAATTACATAAAGTGAATAACAAATTGAAAATTGTACTTTATAAATTTTATGATTGACTAAAGCACTTTTCTAGATTTACCTTCATCAGGACCACTCAAAGCTAAAAGACTGAAACCCAAGGTGAAGGATGGATAACAGAAACACTTTAAGAGCTACATGTTTATGACTTTTAAAAAGTGATCTAAAATAATATCGAAATCCATCTAATGTCAACAAAGCTGCACTTGCAAATGTTCCCTTCTTAAAAAAATAATAAACAAAATTTATTGATAAATCTGAAAATTTAAAAACAAAATATAAATGTACTTGCCTATCAAATGTCCGTCCTGCTCCAGAGACTCGATATAATCAAATAAACTTGCATAATGTGTTCCGTATTTTAAAGTAACTTGATTTTCTTGATTTATTACATGAACATAATGAAAAAATCCTTAATTTACAAACAATCATTATTCCATTATAAAGTGTGTCACTATACAACTATCTATATAACCAAGGTGACCTGTTTAGGGTGTTAACAATTCTAAAATGATGCGGCCAATTAACTACACAAAGTTATACAAGAAGATTAGTGTTACACACAGGGTATTGTTATTAGGAAGTGTCGGAAATAAAACACGAAATCCCATGCGGTTTGTACATAATAGATTTTATGTTAAGTACATTAATGTGCCTTGAACAAAAATGAGTTTTGTATGGTAATGTCAAGTTTATGAATGAAGCTGATCACATGGAATTTCATTGTAAAAAGGATTGGTAACTTCCATTCATAAGAAGTGATTTATTAATCCACATTTCTAATTTGTTAGTGTGATCGTTTCATTCATGAATTTTTTTATTGCAGAGAACAAGATCCCAAAAAAATTTTTTTTAAGATACTTTACCATGTATGCATGTCAATTTTATACTTTTCTGTTACAATAGCCCACCTTGTATAGTAAATGCTGTGAACATTCAAAGATTGATGTCTTGTAACAAAAAACTTGGTTCACATAGTAACAAGGGGAGAGAGAATCCAAACCTTCACTGGATCAGTTCTCATTTCAACAAATTTTTATTCAGACCAGTTCTCATTTCAACAAATTTTTATTCAGACCAGTTCTCATTTTAACAAATTTTTATTCAGACCAGTTCTCATTTCAACAAATTTTTATTCAGACCAGTTCTCATTTCAACAAATTTTTATTCACACCAGTTCTCATATCAACAACTTTTTATTTAAACAGTTCTCATTTCAACAACTTTTTATTCAGACCAGCTCTCATTTCATGAACAACTTTTTATTCAGACCAGTTCTCATTCAACAACTCTTTATTCAGACCCGTTCTCATTTCCACTCTTTATTCAGACCAGTTCTCATTTCAGCAACTCTTTATTCAGACCGGTTCTTATTTCAACAACTCTTTATTCAAACCAGTTTTCATTTCAGCAACTCTTTATTCAGACCAGTTCTCATTACAACAACTCTTTGTTCAGACCAGTTCTCATTTCAACAACTCTTTATTCAGACCAGTTCTCATTTCAACAACTCTTTATTCAGACCAGTTCTCATTTCAACAACTCTTTATTCAGGCCAGTTCTTATATTAGCAATTCTTTATTCAGACCAGTGCTTATTCTGAAAATACCTTTAGTAAGACCAGCTCTTTAAATTCCAACAAAACCTTGAGTCAGACCAGTGCTTATTCCAATAAATACTTGAGTCAGACCAGAGCTTACCCCAAGAAAGACTTAAGTCAGACCAGAGCTTATTCCAATAAAGACTCGAGTCAGACCAGAGCTTATTCCAATAAAGACTTGAGTTAGACAAGAGCTTGTTCCAATAAAGACTTGATTCAGACCAGAGCTTGTTCCAATAAAGACTTGATTCAAAGCAATGCTTATTCCAATAAAGACTCTTTTAAAAAAAGTTGATCGTCCACCATTATATAAGTTGTCAGAGATATTGCTGATATTTACCTATAGTATAAGTTTTATAAAAATCTTGTAAGAATTGTACCCATGAGAGTGCTAACAAGGCAATTTTCCATAAATTTAATATTTCCAAGAGGCATAACTCTTTAAAAAAAGTCAATCGGCCACCATGATAAAACATGTCCAAGATATTGCTGATATTTACCTATAGTATAAATTTTATAAAAATCTGACAAGAATTGTACTCGTGAGAGCGCTAACGAGGCCATTTTCCATAAATTTAATATTTCCAAGGGGCATAACTCTTTTAAAAAAAGTCGATCGTCCACCATTATAGAAAATGTCTGAGATATTGCTGATATTAACCTATAGTATAAGTTTTATAAAAATCTGGCAAGAATTGTACCCCTGAGAGCGCTAACAAGACCGTCCAGTATTTCCATGTCCCCTGCAACGCATTATGGGGGGGAGGGACAAAAATCAGTCAAGAATTGTACACTAGAGAGCGCTAACAAGGCCATTTCCCATAAATTTAATATTTCCAAGGGGCATAACTCTTTTTCAAAAAGTCAATCAGCCACCATGTTAGAACTTGTTTGAGATATTGCTGATATTGACTTATAGTATAAGTTTTATGAAAATCTGGCAAGAATTGTACCCGTGAGAGTGCTATCAAGACGGGACGGACGGATGGACGAACGGACACACGAACGAACACACAGTATTTCGGCTTTATGCAGGGGACAATAAAACTTTAGTTAGACCAGCACTTTAATCCTAACAAAATTATGAGTCAAACCAGAGCTTATTTCAACAAACCTTTAGTCAGAGCAGAGCTTTAATTCCAACAAAACATTGAGTCAGACCAGTGCTTATTCCAATAAAGACTTCGAGTCAGACCAGAGCTTTACTTCCAACAAACCTTATTACAACAAAACCTTTAGGCAGACCAATGCTTTTTTCAACACAATCTTTCCTATAATCAGACCAGGGCTTTAATTCCTACAAAACCTTTGGTCTGATCAGTGCTTAATCCACCAAAACCTTTAGTCAGATCAACGCTTTAATATTGCAACCAAACCTTTGATTAGACCAGTGCTTTTTTATGTAAATTCCACACTTATTCCAATGAAACCTAGGTTTTTATATAAAAATAAGAAGATGTGACATAATTGCCAATGAAACAACTATCCACCAGTGTCCAAATGACACGGAAGTTAACAATCATAGGTCACAGTACGGTCTTCAACAATGAGCAAAACCCATACCGCATAGTCATCTATCAAAGGCCCTGAAATGACAAATTTTGCCTATTCCAAGGAAACTGCTTATTCGTTGGAAACCATCATTCAAATCTTATCAAAAAGAAACCTTTTGTTCAAAGGGAGTATAGTGATTAGATTTTACAGAATATTTTCATTGTACCAAGCATGTTGCAGTATAAAATCTCATGAATTGAAAATAAATCAAAATACTGGCAAATTTTCAAGAAATTTTTACTTTTGTAAATGAAAATTTAATGAGAATAGGTAATCCATTTAAATGACCTATAATTTCAGTTTACTTACATTCGGTAACCTGTTAAGACTAATTTCACGACAAAAAGGAAAGTTTTTTGGATAATTTTGTGGTTGTTTACAACTTCATACTTGCATAGGTGTCATTTAAAGAAAATTGCAGTAAAAGGGCTGAGGGTTATTCATATAAAATTTGAACTTAGAAATAAGTCTAGTAGAATAGAGAATGAAAACAGGGAATGTGTCAAAGAGACAACAAGCCAACCAAAGAGCAGCCCAAGGCCACCAATGGGTCTTCAATGCAGCGAGGAAATCCCACATCTAGAGGTGGGCTTTAGCTGGCCCCTAAACAATAGAAGTAGAACTGGAACACTAACTGCAGGAATCTATAACAATTCAGTAGCACGTGGCCCAGCCATTTTATGAAAAATATCAACCTTTTCATGACAAAGGGTGATTTGATTTAGTTAGCCCATGATAAGTTTTTTTACAATAGACATCTTTTAAACTAATTCATTACAAAATACTGGCTAAATAATTTATATTTCTTTTTATTTTCAAGAAGTCTTTACAAAATTTGGAAATGAAATGACAGGCATATTAATTTTAAAATATGGAATAGACAAGGGAAATTTAATAACTTAATATTTTGCAAAGAAAAGTCATACCATACATAATAATCTAGATCTGCATGATGATACTGACAAACAAACTTTTCTTAAATTATTTTTTTTTGCTTTCTTATTCTCCCTTTTAAATTGCAGAATCGCTTGATTCATTTCATGACTTGACAACTTATTAAAATAACTCACCACTGGCCATTTTCTGCCATCATATACACTGACTGAACAACCTGTTTTCTTCATTTTCACTCTACAAAATAAAAAGAAATTAATACTAAAAAACAGAATTTTGATGGGGAATCTCTAAAAATTAGAATTCAAACTAAAGCCATGGACCTGTTTTTATTAATTTATCCCAACCATATACTTTACCTAGTTGACTCTCGTTATCTCAAAGCTCTTTTATCTCAAAATTCCTGCTATCTCATAGTCAAATGTCCTGTCCCTTTTGATAGACTTGCATTATACTTACTCCTTATATCTCCTAAGATTGCTGATTTCTTTCATCAATTTTGTCAGTCTGAGAAACTTTGAGATAACAAGAGTCAACAGTATATACAGAATAATAACCAGTATGCTAATTTCCATTTAGACTATAATATTACAGGTGAGCAGAATTACGGAAATGTACCAATTAAGAAATTCAAACTTCTGTCCTAGTAACTTAAATTGAAAAGTCTATTAGCACCAGTGTAAAGGAAGTCTGGACCAATTGGAATGAAAGAAAAGGGAACAACACCATTCCAGAATTGGTCCTTTACAAAAAGTGTTTTTTTCAAGGGTGGGACTCTGATGTGCATGGGAATGGAATGGGACAATTTTCTAGATACTTTGCTGTGAGTAAGGAAAGCTTATGGCCTAATCATACACTAAAACCATAAGATAAGAATAGAGAATGTGTCAAAGAGACAACAACCCAACCAAAAAGCTTAGTACACTATATAACATTTTTCCGCATATGTAGATTAATTTTTTCAGACATTTTTATAAACCACTACACAATTAAAAAGTTTATTTAGTTCTTAGCTTTTCTCTCTCCATAATTTGGGAAATGTTTTGAAATAATAGACCTACTATATCTATGATATATATGTGTAGTATTGTGCAGTATAAAAATAAGGTGATGTGGTATGATCTAAATGAGACAACTATCCACCAGAGTTTAAATGAAGTGGATATAAGTAAATTATAGGCCACTGTACAGCCTTCAACAATGAGAAAAACCCATACAGTATAGTTGGCTATAATGGTCCAACATGAAAAATGTAAAACAATCCAAACAAGAAAACTAACAGACCCAATTTATAACAAATCAATTTACTAAAAACAAATATGACAGACATGAATCAACAACAATACCCACTTTTCATATTTTGATAAAACGAAGATATTACTGGTACTATGTACATGTAAATAATCTGCTGAGTACTGTTTTATCTTCATATCATGGGTGAGGTGATGAACGCTCTATTCACACTTCCTAAACACCATGTACTAATCAATTATCAGTTTACAGTCTTTATACCTACATGATAAGTCTATTTATATAGATAGTACAATTTAATCTGTAGACCTCAGATTATTTGGATTTGCCACAAATCTATGATACCATAGAATGCAACCGCAATTACTATAACAAGTTCAAAGGGCTGATTTCAACAATCAATAATATTTTTTTTCTTACCTTGGTATATGGAAATAAGTTTATAACTAATACGTTATAATATTTGTCAATTTGTGATAATTTGTAATAAAAAAGAATATAATCCATTCAAACAAACATGACCAGAACTGAATTAAATCTTTCATTCAGATCTTCTTAAAATTACAAAATAGCACTTTTTAAATATTTCAGATCCCATCTATTTCACAAACAGATTATATAATTAAAAGCACAGTTGTGACTAGGTGACTGTAAAAGTTAATTGAAAATGGGAGATAACTCAATGTTCTATGTTGCCTAGTGTATCCCCAAGTGTCAACAAGGGGAATAACTCATTTGAAGGGAAAGGAAGACAGTTTTAAAGATAAAAGCCTGACTGTTAAACATAACTGTTGAGTTCCAACTTGGAGACTCCCATAACATTATACTTTACTAAATTTATGTCTTACCTCCTTCTAAACATTTCGATCTAAATGTAAATTATCAGGCGGATTTATGTTTAAGTTGTAGAAAGTTACAGGTGCATTACAAGGTTACAATCTATCACATATAAGTTAATGAATTCATTTCACATTTTCACTGTACTGTTATTACTGTTTTCAAATTTCAACTATTTTTCACATAATATTCAGGTTTGTCGCTCTAAACAATATTTTTCATTCCTTAAATTTGTCAATTGCATCCCATTCTTCACATATCCATAATTGTATTGCAAAAAGGTCACATTATTCTATTGAATTTTTCCAACGCCTTTACATTATTTCATATGAATAACTGTATATTTTTATTGTGTCAAAATAATTTTCCCTGTAATCAGTAGAGAACTAAGCATGTGAAAACTCACATATCATTGTCCATTCAAATCAAAAATCTTTAAATCCAAGAGAATTTTAATTACACATGTATTTATTTGGCCTTCCAATAACAACATTTATCCTCTGCAAATTAAAATTCTTAAATTCAACAAAGGCCCCTGTAAAAATAAACCTTCAAACAAAAGTTGTTTATCAGTGAGAGATTTTGGTGGCGGCATACACCACGGACCAAACCTAACAACCAGTTTTCCTATATATTTATACATTAACTTTCTAATAACTGAACAGATAAGCAGTCCTGATTTACATATCATAAATTTTATGTTATATAAACTGTCAAACTTTAATACATATTGTCATGATATTAGATTTCCAATATCACAGGTATACTCCGGGGTTTTTTTTTTTAACTTATAGGACAATGAAATCCCTCGTACAAACAAGTATAAAGGTATTTCAAAATGTTTAATGTTGTTTGGTCTCTGGTGGAAAGTTGTCTTATTGGCAATCATTAGCACATCTTCTAATTTTATATAGAATGTTGTAAAAGGGGAAAGAGAATGTGTAGAGAAAACCTAGCATAAAAATGTAATTTCAAACTGAAATGAAAATAATATTTAGGATATTATTCTTCCTATAAGCATAAAACACGATAACTTTCAACATCAAAACATTCGTTTCAAATTTGTTTACAAGTAATCTTACAAGAATTTTTATCAATAACCCCTCTTAGACCATTGGATGTCTTGCAACCAGAATAACTCAGTTCCCTTGCTGTAATCGATTTTAGTCTTTTATTCCAAACAAATTTAAAAAGTCATGAAGTTTCAAATGAAAATAATTTACTAATTTCTATTGAATTCTTTGACTTATTAACGAATTAATGAAGGTCTATTGGACTAGCACAAAAGCAGCCCTACAGGACCTCACTATTTTACAAGACCAATAAATATCTTACCACAATAAACTAGATCTTGACTCCATGCAAGGTCATTTGGGCTAGTACAGAAGCCGAGTCCTACAGTACCTCCCTATTTTACAAGACCAATAAGTATCTTACCACAATAAACCAGATCTTAACTCCATATGCAAAGTATGAAGAATGTCCAGAAAACTTTCAGAAACAATATTACCAATAAGAAGGGATCATCAAGTTCAATGACAAAAAATAACGAGTTGAAAGTTTGCCAACCGTACAAACAGTGATAAAACTATTAACAAGTCAACAAGTTACGATTGTGTCATACATGTACAAAAACTTTAAAATATATGACTGTTTAAATTAGGTATACTGTAGAAATAAACTAGGTGCATTTTCACACAAATGAGTGTAAAAATAACCCTAACAAATAAGAAACTTTGGTTTATTTTTTTTCAGTACAGCAAGGCTCCAATTTAAAAAGTTTAGTACATTTCTATTTAAATTTTTTTCCAAATTTCTCACAGAAGACTAATCTCTAGTGTCAAAGGTCAATCTATCTTTCTTTTTTCCATTATTAACCAAGTGTTAACTTCATTGTAATGTTTTGGACTGATTGAATGTTGCTTCACATCCAGTGGCAAATATTTCATGCATTCAGGAAGATGAAAAGATTTTCCTTTTGTCATGTAACTTTCAATTTAGACTATTTAGACTAATGACAATCACCGGCCAGTGCTGAGTGATTAATATATAATTCTTTATTACAAAATAAAAAAAAACACCATGCTGATCATGCTAATTTTAAAAATGGAAATTATGAACTTATATTCCACAAATGCATGACTGGCTTATCTATTGATATTTACATATAAAATAACAAATAAATATGTCATATGCTACAAGTATGTAAGTGCATTAGACTTTCAATATCAAAAGTTCACTATAAATCATTGAAGAATTCACAAACCGTAATTTATGGATTTCATAATTTAATTTACCCTTCAGACTTTCTAAAACATGCAACAAAATTTTTTTTTACAGAAAAAAAATCTTACATTTAACTTGAAAGTGTATACATATATAGGTACCAAGTTTCAAACATATATATAGATGTCATATGGTACATGCATGTAAGTGCATTAGACATTCAATATTAAAAGTTGACTATAAATCATTGAAAAAATCACAAAACTTAATTAACGGACAAGTTAATTTAATTTAATTTATCCTTCAGACTTTCTAAACCATACAACAGAACTTTGTTTACAGATAAAAAATCTTACATTTAACTTTAAAGTGTATACATATATAGGAATATAATTCTTATGTTTCAGAATGAAATCAAATAAATGACATCGTATATAATAATTCAATTTATTAAAAAACAATACAATTTTGTACTAAAATCATCCCTTACCTTTTCTTAAACATTATATAAGATCCTTCAGAACTTTCTGACATTGAATGGTATTCCCAAAACACTAATTTTTCAATTTTCACAAGACAATCTAGGATCAATCTTTACAAAATACCTGTACACAGGTGAAAATCACTTTGATCTAAGTTGGGGTTAAATTTCGATGGGTACTTTAATCAACTTAACCTGTTTTCATTCACAGTTCAAGTTGTAAACATCTTTAGAATTTATGATTTGGACCTGAATCACCCAAACAATAAAATAAAGGTACTTTGAAAAGGTCAAAGTGCTCATCTTTCTTCAATTAGGCTAAAAATAATATTTGTTATTCAGTCTGTCAGACATTGGAGAATGAAACTTTTTTGACATGTAGTTGTAATAATTTATTCAGGGATGCATAAGAAAGATAGGTATTGTGCATTTAGACCCACAT